CCACGCAAGAACAGATTGGCTTCTGTGCTTTGTGTAGTCAGTTTAGAACAAGGAAGAAAGGTGACTGGCAGGAGCAACTAGGTATTTCAGATGGAAGACGTACATGAAAATGATATAGACTATGATTTATAAAATACACATGTCAACACACACAAAGGAAAAAAAAAACAAATATTTAGGGTAACATACACTTTAAGGCAGAATGGGGCCCTAGGTAAGGGAGCAACTTTGCCCCCCATCATTTGATATACTTTGCTAAAGATTGCAATAGGCGCAAAGAAGCCGCCTTATCTGTATTATCTGTGCTAACATGCTCTGTCCCGTCATACACCATCTGCCTATTTCAATCCCTCTATGTGCAGTGACACACAGCTGCAAATCTTTGACCACATGCACTGTTCTCCTGGTTTACTGCAGAAACTTTAAGGGGTTGTTCCTAGGCTCTCTAGACATACACTGGGCCTGAAGCCAAGGTTTCCTTGTGAATGATCCACCTCTGGTCGTTTCCTACACCCATCCCTGCTACAATACACCAAAGTTCCCTCTCTATACTACCCCCACAACCTTTTTTTTCCAATACTACAGACTATACTACACTATACAGACAAATCTCAGCTCCACATAACCACATCTGTCTCCTTCTTCCCTCACAATCACTCCAAATTGTCTCTTAGGCATTTCTTCATGAATATATAATGATCCTCTGTATTTGTTAATGCTGTCTACTTAGGTGAATAAATAATGACCCTGTGATTATGTTCTTGTGTATAGTTTATGCTATTTAGGATATCTACCAGTATATATTTTCAAAAAGCATATTGTCACTGCAGATTTTAAAATGTAACATTTGGCTTCTGCATCTGCGCTGGTTACACAACTTCAAACAATGTAAAAAAATAGTTTCCTTACATAGTATAATTACCCATAAACATAAGTGATGCTACCAATGTGGCTATTCTGGGTAATGCTAGCAATAAATAAAGGGTATTAACAGCTTCCCATCCGCCCTATAACAGAAATACTGCTACAGGGTGGCACAGGTGCGCAAAATCACATATATACAGGGCTTTATTTTCTCATAGGAAAGGTAGGGTGGAACGCCCCCACCCAAACCTGGCCACATTTGCGGCCCCCATCAAACCCTAGGACCACCCCTTTAGAGAACAGGAATGCAAGTAAAATTTGGGAGGGGCTATAAAAGTAAATGTATGGAATTAACACCGCCCCCCCCCCCCCCCCACATTAGTAAGAATAGCGAGTAACACTGCAAAAAAAAAAAAAAAAAAAAACCCCCACATTGCCGCTCCTTACCTGATGCTGACGATCCGCGCTATGGTAGGATCGACGAGCAGAGAGGGCGTATGACGTCAGCGCGCACCGCCGGGTGTACTAAGATACACCTTTCCTATGGGGGTGGCCGCGCGCCCCCCGATGTTTACACGCTGGCGGTAGAGGGGGGGGGGTTGAAGCGTGCATGTCCCCGCTCACACGGCTTTTGAGCAGCGGCAGTGACAGGTGCCGGGCACGCGCAGCATGAATAAACAAGCCGCGTCCGGCACCTGTCACTTTCGCTGCTCTGCATAGCTTGTGCTCTGCAGAGGCAGTCGTGAGCGGGGACAAGAAGAAAAAGGGCGGAACGCAGTACCGCCGCGTTCGGCCGGCAGAAAGAAAGCCCTGCATATATATATATATATATATATATATATAATATATATATATGATTTTGCTGTTCTGGGTAGGGGGCGCGCACCCCACCAGCGCTGCCATTTGCGGCTTTCAATCACCGGGGCCTGGCCGGCAATTACTCACCCACGTCCTGTGATTTCCGAAGATCTCCAATGGGGAGGAGGACTGTTTTGTTTACTAACAGTTCTCCTCCCTGTCAGCTTGGGCATACTGCTTTGGATGGCTGTGCACAGCGAGGTTAAGACATCATGAAAAAATAGTGAGATTATCATTTAAAGGGGATTTGAACCTGGAAAAAAAAGCTAACAGGTAAGATTTTTATGACAGAATAGACCCTATTGTTCTCTTCTGTCATAAGTGCTGCTCCCTACCTTTCTGCTTCAATGTTACTTTATGCCACAGCTCTGTGACATGATGAAGTGACCCCGGTGCGCAATAAAGTAGCTGAACAGACCAAACCCAGAAAGAAGACCAGTAGATGATGGAAGTGCCTGTGACCAGTAGGGTCGCTGACAGCACAGTGCTGGAGGGGATCGTTTGACAGGCAAGTCTAGCTGTACATACTAGCACATTGTGGCTAATAGCTCCTGGGGGTCCATTTTAAAAAAATGTGGCATTTGAAATTACCAACAGGTGCACTAGATGAGCAACAATGAGACGACCCCCAAAACAGTAATGGTTTTACAGGTGGAGGCCACTGACATTTTTTTTTTCCTTACTCATCTTTTCTGACTGTTTTTCACTAGTTTTTCATTTGGCTAGGGTCAGTGTCACTACTGGTAGCATGTGGTGATACCTGGACCCTACAGAGGTTGCATAGGCAGTCCAACTCCTCCAGGATGGTACATCAATATGTGCCATTGCCAGAAGGTTTGCTGTGTCTCCCAGCACAGTCTCAAGAGCATGGAAGAGATTACAGGAGATAGGCAGTTACTCTAGTAGAGCTGGACAGGGCCATAGAAGGTCCTTAACCCATCAGCAGGACCAGTATCTGCTCCTTTGTGCAAGGAGGACAGGATGAGCACTGCCAGAGCCCTACAAAATTACCTCCAGCAGGCCACTGGTGTGAATGTCTCTGACCAAACAATCAGAAACAGACTTCATGACGGTGGCTTGAGGGCCTGACATACTCTAGTGGGCCCTGGGCTCACTGCCCGGCACCATAGAGCATGATTGGCATTTGCCATTGAACACCAGAATTGGCAGGTCCGCCACTGGCACCCTGTGCTTTTCACAGATGAGAGTAGATTCACCCAGAGCACATGTGACAGACATGAAAGGGTCTGGAGAAGCTGTGGAGAACGTTATGCTGCCTGTAACATCGTTCAGCATGACCATTTTGGTGGTTGGTCAGTGATGGTCTGGGGAGGCATATCCATGGAGGGACACACAGACCTCTACAGGCTAGACAATGGCACCCTGACTGCCATAAGGTATCAGAGTGAATTCCTTGGACCCACTGTCAGACCCTACGCTGGTGCAGTGGGTTCTGGGCTCCTCCTGGTGCACGACAATGGCCGGCCTCATGTGGTGAGAGTATTCAGGCTGTACATGGAGGATGAAGGAATTGATACCATTGAATGGCCCCCATGCTTGCTTGACCTAAATCCAATAGAACACCTCTGGGATATCATGTTTCGGTCCTTCTGATGCTGCCAGGTTGCACCTCAGACTGTCCAGGAGCTCAGTGATGCCCTGGTTAAGATAGGGGAGGAAATACCCCAGGACACCATCCATAGTCTCATTAGGAGCATACCCCGATGTTGTCAGGCATGCATACAAGCACGTGGGGGCTATACAAACTACTGAGTACCATTTTGAGTTGCTGCAGTGAAATTTCAGCAAAATGGACTAGCCTGCTTCATCATTTTTTCACTTTGATTTTCGGAGTGTCTTTGAATTCAGTCCTCTGTAGGTTGATAGTTTTAATTTCCATCAAACAATGGACATCCTTACATTCCTAACACATTACGCAGTCCATATCAGTATAGATATCCAGCATGATATTTTTCCCTATTGAGATCTGATGTGTTTTCAAAGTGTTCCTTCGTTTTTTTTGAGCAGTGTATGTATAAATCCACAGACAAAGATTCTCTTCTTAGAGAGCTCTCTAGCCTTCCTGGTGTACTGCCTCAGACCCCAGATGAATTTTCCTCTTCACCTAGCTGCCTGAGGGAATTCCTGAGCAAGGGAACCCGGAATCTGCCACTTTTAAATCAACAGTCTAACATGGGCCTACACAGGTTTCCCACCAGAATGTCCTCTCCCCTTATTCGGCCCAGGGTGTGTGGGATTACTCTCTCAGTCCTCTCCTGCAAGCTTGTGGGTTGGTAGCTGCCGTCAGACCTTACAATGGGATGGCTTCTTCCCTGCTTCCCAGGCTGTCCTCTCTCAGGGATGGTTGAGGCTGAGAGATCCCCACTTCCAGCTCCTGCCTGCAGATAGGCCCCTCTCCTGGGCCCTCTCCCAGGCTCCACATTCCCCCTGCCAATCAGGTTGTCTCATAATTAAAGGCTGTCCTGACCCCATGCCAAGCCTCCTGCTTGGGGATTGCCCAAGATCCCTTAAGCATGCAGATCAGCCCCTCCTCACCCTCACCCACTGCCTTCTAGAAACTTCACAAGCATCTAGAGCAGGTTGAAGGTATCAGGGAACTGACCTACAGAGCCCTCAGCCCTGACTTCAAGTTTCCTGGCTGACTCATCCCAGGCTGACTCATACACAGGCTGCTATTCAAACTCTGCCAAAAAAATCTTTCTAGCTTCCCTTAGCTAATTAGAGGGGTGCTACAGTTAGTATTAGCTTAGGCTTGATAACCAGCATAGGCTAGAGCCAGGTTAGGCATCTGACAGTGAGTTCTGGTAGTTAGAGGTCAAGTTGCATGTCAGAAACTATTAGGAAGGTAATAAAGTAGTTAAGCAACACTGAGTTCAGTGCCACATTGCAGTTTCTGCCTGTGAGAAGCTGCTTTCCAGGCTAGTTGGATAACAGCTGGTGGATCTCTTCATCACCACTGATCTTGTATTCAGGTCTCCAACACGCTGCGTTGTGATCATCCTCAGGGGCCCCTGCAACTGAACTTTGCTGCAACATTAATCAGGAGGTATCTCTATTAACTTGTTGCCGACCGCAGATAGCCGAATGACGGCTGCACTGCGGCCGGCCAGTTCTGAATGGACGTCATATGACGTCCCCCCAGAACGCGCTCTCCTGCGCGCCCCAGGGGGCGTGCACCTGGCGATCTCCGTGATTGCTGTGTCCTACGGACACAGCTGATCACGTGATGTGGTAAAAGGCCACTCACAGCGGCCTTTTACCACCTGATCAGCGGTGTCCAATGACACGCTGATCAGAGGGAAATGCAAGTGCCGGTTCTCGGCTGCACTTTCCTCACGCTGTCAGATCGTGAGGAAAGTACTGCCGAGAACCGGCAGTTGTCAGAGCGGGGATCGGCACCGATCATCAGGGCACTGATGATCAGTGCCCTGATGATCGGTGCCCAGCAGTGCCACCCACAAGTTCCGCCCACCTGTGCTCTGCAGTGCGCCCACTAGCTCCGCCCACCTGTGCCCAGCAGATCACCCACCTGTGCCCAGCAGTGCACCCACCTGTGCCCAGCAGTGCACCCACCTGTGCCACTCTGCAATTTCACACACCTGTGCCCAGAAGTGCCACCTACCTGTGCCCAGCAGTGCCACCCACCTGTGCCCACCCACCTGTGCCCACCAGTGCCACCCACCTGTGCCCACCCACCAGTGCTGCCCACCAGTGCAGCCCAGCAGTGCTGCCAGTCAGTGCCACCAGTCAGTGCCCAGCGGTTGTGCCAGTCAGTGCCGCCAGTCAGTGCCCAGCAGTGATGCCAGTCAGTGCCGTCTATCAGTACCCATCATCAGTGTCACCTATCAGTGCCGCCTATCAGTGCTGCATATTAGTGCCGCCTATCTGTGACACCTCATTAGTGCTGTCTATCAGTGCCGCCTATCCGTGCCACCTCATTAGTACTGCCTATCAGTGCCCATCAGTGCCCGCCTATCAGTGCCCATCAGTGCTGCCTCATCAACGCACATCAGCGAAGGAGAAAAATTACCTGTTTGAAAAATTTTATAATAGAAACAAAGAAACTTTTTTTTTTTTTCAAATTTTTGGCAATTTTTTATTTATAGCGCAAAAAGTAAAGCGCCCAGTGGCGATTAAATACCACCAAAAGAAAGCTCTATTTGTGAGAAAAAAATGATCAAAATTTCATATGGGTACAATGTTGCATGACCGCGCAATTGTCAATCAAAGTGATGTCATGAAAGCTGAAAATTGGCCTGGTAAATAAGGGGGTATAAGTGCCTGGTAGGCAAGTGGTTAATAGCTACTGTATATACTGTATACCTGGGTGTATGTGCATAATTCCACCATGACTCCTGTTGGGCCCCTTGCTGATCATACTTCTTTGAACAATGGATGTATGCTCTAGTATTAATCTTTTCTTATATAAAGCTTGTATTATTTCTATATTGGTCTGCCTCTATTAATGTGGTGAATGTTATATGAGGGTTGCAGTAATTCCTCTGCTCCAATTTACTTTGATTAGATTACTGTTGTAAATTCCCAGGATGAAAATCTTCTCTGTTCACAGAGGTCCTATCCTGGGTGGAGGCACCCGTAAACAATGATCATTTGAAACAAAAAAACATGTTTTTCATGTGATTTGACCTTCAGTCAAAGTTGGAAACCTTTTTTTCATGAGTCTGTGTCTTATGGACACACAAACCTCAGTACAATCATTTGAAAAACAAAATTATATGCTGCCATTACGTATGCTTTTGTGCACGCTGAAAATAGACGGAGAGCTAACACCTGACCCTTTCAGCAAAAATCCCCAACCCCCAACTCCCCCCCCCCCAAAAAAAAAAAATCCAGTACCAATATGCACGCTAACCCCTTACAGCACAAATATTGTTTCCCCCAGCACAACCCCCCCCTCGCCCAGCACAAATCCCCCCTATCTCCCTTCCCAGCACTAACCTGCACACTCACCCCTGCTAGCACAACTCTTTGCCTCATCCACCCATACTACCTCCCCTCCTCCCACCACAACCCATCCCCCCTCCCAAAACATATCTTCTAACCCTTTTGCCCAAATGCCTCCTTTTGGCACAAACAACCCCCCAATCCCCCCTTCCAGCACAAATCCTCTCCTAGCACAAAACCCCCCCACATCCCCCTTCCCAGCACCCCCCCCCCCCCCCCCAAATCCCCCTTCTAGTACAAATCCTCCTCTCCCATCCCAGCACAAATCCTCTGCCCATGCTATCCTGGGAGCCATGCCATGTATATATGTATATATTTTCTTACACTACTATTAGGGATCATACAGATCGTGTGTGTTATGTGGGATACCTCTGTGCTTGTCTGGGTGCTTCATGCAACTCCTGACGTATGACCACATACTGCCGCCTCCTCTCATGTATTTCAGTGGGGAGCTGGCTGTACACAGCGGGACCTGGGAACATGGAGCTGGGTATTTATTCATCTGTGACAAACATGTAGGTGGGTATTTATTTCTCTGTAGAATGAAGGCAGGTACTTATTTATCTGTGACATGGAGGTAGGTATTTATTCATCTGACATAGAGTTAGATATCCATTCCTCTGTGACACGGAGGTGGGTACTTATTCCTCTGTGATACGGAGATGGGTATTTATTCCTCTGTGACATGGAGGTGGGTATTTATTCCTCTGTGACATGGAGGTGGGTATTTATTCGTCTGACATAGAGTTAGATATGCATTCCTCTGTGACATGAAGATAGGTATTTATTCCTCTGTGACATGGAAATGGATATTTATTTTTCTGTGATATGGAAGTGGGTATTTATTGCTCTGTGACATGGAGATGGGTATTTATTCCTCTGTGACATGGAGGTGGGTATTTATTCCTCTGTGACATGGAGGTGGGTATTTATTCGTCTGACATAGAGTTAGATATGCATTCCTCTGTGACATGAAGATAGGTATTTATTCCTCTGTGACATGGAAATGGATATTTATTTTTCTGTGATATGGAAGTGGGTATTTATTCCTCTGTGACATGGAGATGGGTATTTATTCCTCTGTGACATGGAGATGGGTATTTATTTCTCTGTTGCATGGAGGTGGGTATTTATTCCTCTGTGACGTGTAGGTGGGTATTTATTCTTCTCAGAAATGGAGGTGGTTATTTATTCTTCTGAGAAATGGAGGTGGGTATTTATTCCTCTGACATGAAGATATGTACTTATTTCTCTGTGACATGTAGGTGGGTATTTATTCTTCTGAGCAATGGAGGTGGGTATTTATTCCTCTGTGGAATATGGGTAGATATTTATTCCTCTGTGACATGTAGGTGGGTATTTATAACATGGAGGTAGGTATTACTCTATAACATGTATGTGGGTATTTTTTCCTCTCTCACATGGAGATAGGTATTTATTTCTCTGTGACAAGAAGATAGGTGTTTATCCCCCTGACATGGAGGTAGGTGTTTTTTCATCTAACATGAAGATGGGTGTTTATTCCCCTCTGTGACATAGAGGTAGGTGTTTATTCCTTTGACATGGATGTAGATGTTTATTCCATGGAGGTAGGTGTTTATTCCTCTGACATAGAGGTAGGTGTTTATTCCATGGAGATAGGTGTTTATCCCTCTGACATAGAGGTAGGTGTTTATTCCATGGAGGTAGGTGTTTATTCCTCTGACATGGAGGTAGGTGTTTATCTCTCTGACACAGAGGTAGGTGTTTATTCCATGGAGGTAGGTGTTTATTCCATGGAGGTAGGTGTTTATTCCTCTGACACAGAGGTAGGTGTTTATCCATGGAGGTAGGTGTTTATTCCTCTGACACAGAGGTAGGTGTTTATTCCATGGAGGTAGGTGTTTATTCCATGGAGGTAGGTGTTTATTCCTCTGACACAGATGTGTTTATTCCATGGAGGTAGGTGTTTATCCCTCAAACACAGAGGTAGGTGTTTATCCCTCAGACACAGAGGTAGGTGTTTATCCCTCAGACACAGAGGTAGGTGTTTATCCCTCAGACACAGAGGTAGGTGTTTATCCCTCAGACACAGAGGTAGGTGTTTATCCCTCAGACACAGAGGTAGGTGTTTATCCCTCAGACACAGAGGTAGGTGTTTATTCCTCTGACATGGAAGTAATTTGGAGGACTGCAGCTCCTTTCCCATTCGGTGGCTTTGGTGGGAGGGGTCAGTGAAGAGCAGGCTGGTGGCCCCTCCCCCATCTCTCTGCGGTCCTCAGTGAGGGGGAGCCTCCAGTTCCTGTCACGTTGTTGTGTTTACGCCTCATCCTTGGCCCCGCCTTCTCCTGGCCCGATGCCTCGTCTCATAGGGGGAGGCCTGCAGTATGAGGAGGTTCGCCGGTCTCTGAGCACTGACACCAAGGACTGAGGGGGAGGGGAGGGATTGTTTACATGAGCCGTGCACGGCACTGCGTCACGATCAGTGCTAATGAGGTGACTCGGCAGCCCAGCCTGGATCTCCGTGTGTGCAGGTAAGATGGCTGCTGTGTGCATGGGGACCCTTCATTCTGGGGGGTGAGGAGCCCACGTCTGTCATTGGTTGAGGGGGGGGGGGGGGGGGGCAGGTGTGATGTGGTCCGGGGACGGATCTCTCTATTCATCTATACGGGGCCGGGATGTGCATTCGCGGATCTGTTACTTTGTAAAGTTCCCTTACATGGGAGGTGTCCATGGTGCTGATCACATCCCTCCTGACCTCTCATTCACATCGATCACCACAAGGACACACAGGAAACAATGGGCTCCCCTGTGCCCTGTGCACACCACAGCTCTGCATTCCGGGGGATGCTGTGTTAGGGCTCATTCACATCAGAACATGGCGTGGGACAGGCGCGCGTCCATACATGTTTCCTGCACCGCACGGGAACGCACCACCCTTTTTAGACCCATGCAGTTGCCGCTGATTGTTAATGGCACCCCAAGTGCATGGAACAAATGCAGCGTGTTTGCTGCCGCCAGACCACATGGTACCGCAGCGCCATGCAGTTTTGATGTGATTTTTAAAAAGTCGTGCCTGCCATACTTTTTGTACGTTCCTATGCGCTTAGCAACCCATTGAAATGAATAGGCTGACAAGAGCAGAACACAAGGGAATTTGTGTTCCACGTTCCGGTCACCACACATCACCATGGCATGCTGCAAGGGGCTCCAGGGAATAGACTTGATTGGAGTGACACTTTAATAGTGAACCTCCTGCTGCCCACATAACTCAAAACTGCAGCAGCAAAGAGGGCGAGCTTTAACACCAACACACCGCAAATATGCGTCCATGGACCGCCAAGGTTTCTATGTGTAGGCCAGTGGCTGAGCTTGTCGTGGACCAACAATGATCAGGGGCTGCCAAATCATGTGACCACTGTGACAGCCAATCACAGTGGTCACATGATCGGACAGTCTTTTATGCCCCCAGGGTGGAAAGGGCCAGTTAAAAGGATGCCAGGGCTGGGTGGGTACGGGTTAATTGGTTAGTTATCAAAAAACTGCCTATGCAGATAAGGGGTGTCAGCAGATCAGTGGTCTCCAAACTGCAGCTCTGTAACCCTTTGCTTGCCTCTAGCCAGCCCTTGGGGAACTGTTCCATCCACAGCTGACACCAATGATGGGGCAGCATTTCCTCCCACTGACACCAGTGGTGGGGCACTATTCCTGCCACATTCAACAACGATGGGGTGAATGTATCCCACTGATATCCACCATGGGGCACTATTCTTCCCA